CTACATCAGATTTTAATCAGATTGGTTTTGAGTGAATGTATTTATATATATTGTTTGGTCCAGTGATATTCTGTGAGCACTTGACAAATAAACTTATATTTTAGGATAATTTTCTTCCTTCTTTGTCGTTTCTTGTGAATTGTTGGCGTTAGGACGTAAAATGCATTTTTCCTGTGGTTGAGCAGTGATATTGATATTGATACAATTATTAAATTAAACCTTACAAAATACCATTCTTGTAAACTGTGTTGGTCGACGTATAAAATGAAAAGAAAAAAATCGTTCTTGTAACGACAACTTTATTCTTTGAAGAGTAATATCAATATTAACAAATATTGGAAAACTATACCTAATAAACAATATGCAGGACAAAATCAACAATTCAAAAAAATGTGTTACTAGTATTTCCTTTCGTAAAAATATGTTTTTGATGTACTGTAACCCAGAGATCTAACTATTATACTCCTTAGTGAGTAGTGCGCCACTCCCTGCAACTAGTAGTAGCGTTCACACACAGCTCCGTAGCACCGATTAATCTGATCCGTTTTTAAGACCTGGTTCAGATCCCTAGCACGGGCTAACGAAGTGTGTGTGAACGCTTAGCTCAGGCTAAGCGCCCAAAACGCAATTGTATTCAATGTTCATTTGGAAGATATACTATGTTCACAAATACTCACAACATTTCGGTATACCGTTTTTGACGCGACAATCAAGGCGAGCGCATCAAATGACATTGTTCTAGAGAAAAATTAACTTACGGTTAAGACCCTGTGCTGCTTCCTGTTATTCTGCAATCTACACTTTCTGAATTTGCTTTGATATTGTTTTACAACAGTAGAATTAATATGTATATATTTCAGGTTAGTGTACTGAGCAGGCATGTTAAAATGAGCTGGTATTATGGACGATTAACTAATAAAAAATGCGCAAAATCGAATTTGTTTCCATGGAAACAATGACATTGTTAATTCCAGTTGGTGTTTTGCCCTACCATGGTAGCCATCGGTAAACTACTTAGAGCTGAGGTTTATGATTCATAAACTAGTTCTGGTATCATGTTTTGGGACTTTCAAAAATCCAATCACTTGGCCAATTTTAGAACATTCCTGTCAAAAAAGCGTTAGCCGCACTCATCGTTAAAGTTATTGCGACGGAGCGCTTATCTGTCATCAAAATAACGCACATATAACATTTATACAAAATACTAGTTTTAGGGATGGTGTATCCTCGATCGCGTGACATTCAGGTATCAACAAACAACAAAATGTTATTGATGATATTCACACCAACAAAACGTTTACGTCAGACCACACTGTAAACACATGTGCTTAAATTTGAATGCTTATCGCTACAACGAGCTGCCGTAAATTACTCGTTCGTTTTTCACCCACAGGTTACATCGGCGGGTGAAAGCCACAAAGACTTCCACGGCGAAGTTGAGAGGTGCGCGGTCAACAATTCAATGATATCATTGACAACAAATATTTCTGTATGATAAATACTTGCAAGACTTAACATAATCCTGTCTTATCTTTTTAAGTTTTTAGGATCTTTTTTCCCCAATTTTAACCCAATCGGTAACTATTCCTGGCTTATTTACGAATGTTTTATGAACGAATGCGCTGTACACTACGATGCCATGGACCACCCGTGGTTGACGCAAAAACTGAATAAGCTTCACGTCAAATTCCTAAGTAGAGTTGCGCCGTCACCCCGTATTGGGCAAATCTGTGAATTAAATTATTGGTTGTCGCTTACCTGTTGTATAGTTTATTACCTCCTTCTTCGTCCTCTTCTGTAAGAAAATCGGCTATCCGCTCAGCAGTTGAGTTTTCTTCTCCAACAAGCCCCTCCACGTCTTCGCCGATGAGAGGCGTGCTGTCGACAGTTGGCGGAGAGCTAGCCATTTACAAAATTATCACGTAGACGTTGATGTCAACTGTCACACACAACTCAAAACGAAGCTGTCATTTCACCGACTTCAGTAGAAAAAAAAATACAACACACTGCTTTCACATAAACAAGAAATCTATAACAAAATATCTGTAACGTACCGATGAATAAGCGAGAATACAAACACAAATCATTCAACATACATCACATACTATCCTGGTTGGATGGCTTATTTGGAAAGTACGTCACAAGCATATCGAAAATCAGTGACCAGAATACATTCCTAATACGCATATATCTTATGTTTTAATCCCTGACATAAGCTGGATTTTGTGCTTCTGAATTCCCATCATGGCCAGGTCGAGATCAACCTACCTGCGTTCACTTTCCGAAATGTCAGAATATACGTAATTGAAAAAATATGCCAGATGCTCAGCGAGTTCCAGGGACATTCGTAACCTCGTACCCTTTTATAATGTCAAACTCCCAAATTCTGCTCAAAATATAAAAATAAATATATGGCTGCTTACACGTGGTCATTTTAATAAAATGTGTTGCTATCTTCACTATATGCGCCAGATTATATTATTAAGGGTCAAGTATTATGGATGTGGTCGAATACAATTATTCTGAACAATATGCAGAAATCATGCTGTTGTTTTGTTGTGTGTGTGTGTATTATCGACGATCGGTGATTTAGTCATTGATTTTGAGTCGCTTTTATAGTTAGAAAACCCGGAAATAAAAAACTTGTATATGTTTTTATCTTGAGTAATGTACATTTCAGCTATATCAAAACACGTGTCGTATTTTTTAATTGGCTTCATTTTTAAGCCTTCGTTAATTGCCAGACAGAAAGCTCGTCAAAAGCTTGAAACATAATAATTGCTATCACGGTAACGTACATTTCAGTAACGTACATTCCCTCAACATATATTGTGCTCAATAGCAAACAACACATATTGCAATATTGTTCTTTTACAGATTTGTTCTCGTGATATTTCCTTTATATTTGTTAAAAACGTTAGTTCCAGGAGAAAATTCTTACACACATTTATCATATTCGATACAGTGTTAGATGCAGACAATTTCAGTGTATATTCACGTACATTTCACGTTCCTGTCACAATTATTTTGCAATATGATCATAGTAAATTTCGTATGCGAGAATAACCTTTGTCAACAATACCGTCAAAAATCACAAATTCTTTAAATACTGCATGTCATCTACGTAGATATCAGCGCATATATTAAATGAAGGCCAAAATTAACACCAACGCATGTACAAAAATAGCCAAAGTTCAACAATAATAATTTACGCGGGGATTTGATTACGGGTAGAGCATGTGTTTGTCGAAATAATCACTAAAACACTTTTTATTCAATGTTTGTTGTTTTCTTTACCAATTTTAAATAAACACAGAAATAATATAGACTAATGGGCACCAAAATATTTCAATACAATTATATGCATATAACAGTGCACATGACGTCACGCGTGAATTATGTGAAACCATAGTTTATTAGGTACACTATACTATATGATTGGAATAGTTATCGTATCCTGCCATCTGTATTTGTATGTAACCATAATACCATCTTTTATAGCTCGGTTACATCTTAGCATTGGGCTATGTAATAATGTATTTTTATGTATTTTAGCCCAGACACTAAACGAAAGTGGGGGCGTGTTACGTGACCAAGTAGTCACCCCTTTTTGAACTCTTCTTGCTCAAGTTTAACTGGTTGTGTAGTTTTATCCACTCGAGTTTAACTGCTTCATGTTCTAAATAATGAAAACTTAGCTTCCTGTTCGGAGTCATTGGCAATTTCTTGCTCACTTTCAGAAACATGTTTTATTCTATTCCTCTCAATTTCGTTTTTCATTGGTTTATTAGGTAAAATCATGAAGCTATTGTCTCATCTAACATTCGAGATTTTACCACTTTGTTTGTGGTTTCTTCATCATTTTAAAATACACAATTCGTGTAACAGGAATAACTTGGACTAATGGACACTACTATAGTTCAATACAATTATATGCATATAACAACAATGCTCACTGGTCAATCTTGCATATACGACGCCACGCATGAATCACGTAAAACCAGAGTTTATTGGGTGCACATATGCTTTGTATAGTTCTTTTTTTTTGGCAGTATCGCGCTATCCTGCAAAAATTCAGTTCAGTGGCCCTCGCCGCGCACCGATGCAGATACTCGGTTGGTAATGGGTGGGGTTTACACAATTACGCATTGAATACACCAAATCAAGGTTGATAACTATTACTGAACAAAAGAGAGAAAGTGTGAGTCAAGTTTTAATACTCTTTAAGTACATATTTGTAAACCATTACATGAATAAACTGGTCTACAAATTAGCAGCGTAATATCAGAATTAAAAAGCCAAGAACTAGCTGACGTTTCCCGACGTGCATCAAATTCTATCATCCGGCGACTCAGATTGACTCAGACTTTTCAGATAATGGAGTTTCGACCAATCAAATTATGTAGTGATCTCGTGATAGTATTTCGTGATCTCGTGACAATACTTTTTATTCCTGATCTGATATGACCCGAACAGACTTTCATAGCATTCATCCTTTGTCTATTTCTTACACTAGATACTAGCCGATACCCCCTCGTGCACCAGACGAGGCGTACATTTGATTATATTTCATTTTTAGGTCAGAGGTCCAAGTCCAAGAAAGGTAGAGTGTACAAGTGACCGTTATGCAAATTGTGATCACTATAATCAATCAACGCTGATCGTCAACATTTCGAATGACACTTTCAGTTACTAGGTGTCACGTGGTAAATTTCTTACATATTGTTGTTACTACTTTTCATTATCTCGATGTCACTCCCAACATCTACATTTTCATCTACTATAGTAATAATTGTAATATCTAAAAAACGGTTACATGTATTTTTTTTATTAACACTGAAAACGACGCAAACTTCACCTTGTAATGAGATTTAAATAATTGTGTAAGAACGAATGAATGAATGAATGAATGAATGAATGAATAAATGAATGAATGAATGAATGAATGATCCTCAACAAATATTCATGTGTTTACGAGTCGAGTAGCAAGATTTGTAATTGATCATGTTGGTGTTTTAACAGTTGTTTTCATACGTTATTACGACACCCGAAAATGATATATTTTTTGTGCATGCGCATTACCTGATTATGCAAACCAATTCATACATACATTTAATGGTATTCCAATGGCATATTGGTTACACTAAAACTTCCTAATAACTCAAGAAATATACACACACACAAAGGAAGCATAATAATGTTTGTTTCACTTACAAATATATCTATAAAGTTTGGGCGTGTTTTAAATATGTTGCATTGTATTTTCCCTATTGTGTCACGTTACTTTTGTTTAATGATCCCTGGTTGGGTATGTTATTTTTGCTTTTGCCTTGTTTATCTCGTATCAAAGCAGTGAACCTTACGTCACTGAGCCACATATTAATACATTTGTCAGCTGCATTACTTTTTAGGACGTATTTCCTTTCACGTGGATCTTTAGTATTCATGACAGATGGGTCAACGCACTCCTCCATTGTTGTGTGTCGCTTATCCCGGAACTGTTGCAAATCCCTCTCGAAGGCGGGACCATAGTCAGTTATTTTTTCCCATAGTGTTCTGTTGAAATGTTCATAGAGCAGAAAATCACCCCTGTTCCATTGCATAATTCTATCACGCGTCTGTTGCGTGAGTATATGTCTCGATGTACCGACACCTTTCGGAATGTAAATGATATCGTCCATGCTCCAACACAACTGTTTCTTCAAAACCAGCAAAGACTCATCAAAATATTCCGTGATAAGAACGAGGTCCATCTCCTTGTCCAGAATTTCAATGTATTTGTGGATTACATCATCCGTTATATTGGCATAATTATTTCTAAATCCAAGGTCATAGAGTTGACCGTTGTGACTTTGCCACCAAAATCTCATTTTATATTTGGGGAATTTTGCAGGATTTTCCATAAAAGTTACTAATGCATTTTTATTTCCGTGATATCGATTAATGACCTGTGCCCACCGGAAGTAGCTGAAGGCCGAGACAATCTGATTCACAGGGTGACGTAATATAGTAATGTAAGTAGCATTGGGAATTACAGCCTCCATTTCATGTCGATTGTACCTTACGTGATTGGTTAATATGTCGTAATGTTTCCCGCCATTCAGAGGAGGGTATTTGCGGCTATTCAACATGCTCCGATTAAAACCTGATGTGCTTGATATAATTTGGGTTCTAGAAGGAACAACAAAAGACAAATTTCGCGTGTAACCAAAGCGTTGTATGATAGAAGCCGTCGTACTACTTGCCGTTTTGTGCGTTTTTATAAACACCACTCGTGTGAATGTATTACATTCAGTACTATTTTTTCTGAAATAAAAAAAAATACATTACTAACTAGTACGTTATTAACGAGTGTTAAATTAATTAAAACGGAAATGGGCATGTGTGGGAATTGAGTCCCAGGTGATTGTTTGTAAACATCGACATGATATTGCCTGTTGCCGCATGCGCAGGTGTCGACTCCCTTGCTTTAACATTCCTAGTCGAAGTTATACTAAACGAATTGGAGTATTGACTCGAATTGTGTCAATATTATCGTGTTGTTTGTGCCCGAGTGACTTACTTCGTGGGTGGTGTTCTAGTCACAATCACCGAACGTTGTGTGAATTGATTTTCGATAATATCATCCCAGTACTTTTCTGCCTGGTTTCTGGATAATAATTAATACCAATGAATATCGGTTAATGATACGTAAATAAAAGGTTGAGTAAATAAACGCATACAAGTGCATTAACTTATTTTGCAATGGAGGTACAAGATGGGTTTGAATACGACTCTATTTAATATTATCCAACTTAGACCGATTTGCACCACCATGTAATATGCAAGCGTGCGAAGTCAACCTGCCTGTTGTTTTAACCAACACATGCCGCCATACTGAGTTATACGGATGTGGCGGTAACATTTGTGATATTCGAGTATGACTCCAGCTAGTCAAGATCACCCACCCCGCCCCCGCTAGTGAAAAGCACGGGAGAACTTTAAATGATAGAACATATACATAAGCATAGATTAGTCTTTATATCCACATCATTAAATCGTACCAAGCAACATCTATTCAGAATAAATATACGATAATGACGCTGACACGCGCATACTTACCTTGCGGGGGTCACTGTCATACCGTCATAAACGTAAATATAGACGAAACCAGAGCTAACAAGTGACAGTGCAAGCAATACAGCGAACATACGACGCCATGAGCAGACTAACATGACGCTACTGTTAATTTTATCCGAACGAGCTGGTATACCAGATATCGACATCGTCTTAAATATACATCATCAGTCTATGGTTGTGTCTGATAAGATGGCCCAACTGTGAATAACGAGACAATTAAAAACATGAGAACAAATATCACCCTTTGTGAAGCGACTTTTCTTGCTTGCAGCAGCATGGTAATACCCGATAATGATTTAACAAATAACAAGTTTACAAATATAACATATTGATTGATCGATCGACAACTATAATTATCTTGAACTGCAAACGTTATTGTTATTCAGATATTTAGGTATATATTAATTTATTGATTTATTAATTCATTATATTATAACAATAATAGTATTAAACCGTATATTTTTGGCTGTGTCGCAAAATGTCTGAATTGTAATTTTAAGAAACGAACAAAGTGTACACGCATTTGTTTGTTTGTTTGTTTGTTTGTTTATTTGTTTATTTATTTATTTTTATTTATTTTTATTCTATTTATTTATTTTATTTATTTATTTTATTTAGCTATGAATATACCGGTGAAGCTGATTATTACATAGGCTATCATTAAAATTCGAAATACATATAGTGACATTTCCAAATGCCAAGCGCACTACCGTCCCATAAATTAATATAAACAGACATTTAATACTGTATTATACCTTTAATTGGACAGCCTCCGACAATTAGTATGCCTAGCATGTGACTTTGATATAGCGTTGAACCCATGCCTATAAAAATTAAAATATTTTATTTAATCATTAAATGTATATATTTTATTATTAAATTTGGGATTTAATTATAAAATTCGTATAATGATTTGATCATTAAATTCTTATAGATTAGCATTTCATTCGTATGCTCTCTTTTAATGTGCATATATTATCAATCATGGTTTATTTTATTATTAAGTTATATTATTTAATTGTGAAATGCGTCTAGAATTCCACTTACTTATGGGCTTCAAATTTGTAATTGGACGCGCCGATGCTGGGAGATAATATCTCATTACGCGTTTAAACTAGACCAATTAGTCTTTATGGGTCGAATACAGCTTTAGCGGCCCATGGTTGTACGGCGGAATCGCCCGACCTTGCGATGATGTGTTAGCCGTACGTCCCAGATCAACGTTCGCTATGTTCTCCATTCATACGCCGTTAACGTTATTATGGGTGTATCGGGATCGTTTGTCGACTACAATAGCTCAGTGTCGGCGGCACGTGGGGCAGAGGGGCGGTCACCAATTCGAAAAAAAAATGTAGGGGGCGTCGCCCCTCCAAAATCTAGCTGAAACTATTTGTGACAGCAAAATTTGCCCCTCAAAATGCAGGAAATAGCGTTTCAGAGGGTCTAGATTTCAACATTTTTAAGGGGGAGCATGCCCCCGGGCCTCCTAGTAAGGCCGCAAGTTTGGTGAGTAGATTATTTGTTAGATTGCCTCTCAACAAACCCAGCCCGGAAAACCGTGTTGACAGAGCGCCTCTCCCGGCGCACTGCAATACCTAAGCATGAGACTCTCTTTAAAACACTGATACAAGTTTCATTTAGATGCTCTAGAAATTTGATTACGTCACTAAATATGAATCCACTAATCAGATCGCAGTGTACGCCACCGTGACGCTCTATATATTGCACCATTCTCTACTCTTGTGACAATAACTCGTTTTTATAAAACTCAACACTGTTGGTTGGTTCGCATGCCTGATGGTGTCAAGTATTAGAGGCGGGTGCAGGATTTATTGAAGGGGGAAATTAAAACTATAAAAAAAATATGTATATGAAAGCATACGTAGATCTTATTTATTTCTGTTCTAAATTAAAACTCTCAGTTTGTCAAGTTGGCTCAAACTTCTAGGCTTATATCTCTTATATCAAGGCGGCGACAAGAAAAAACAAATTTGCGATTGGGACGTTTTTTGATATAAGTGTGATAGATTAAATCGATTGTTCTTAACCTTCACGTCAGAGGTACTAAGTTCGGGGAATTCTCCACCTTTCTATCGAACAAAGACACACAGAGAATCGAATCGTGTCACATTTGGTCTCCGCCGCGTTGTTACTCTCCCTCGGTCGCCTCCAGACTCCTCTTTGTCGAGAGCTTGCTACAACTAACTGAGATCGGTTTTATTCACGTTCCAACTGTTAACCAATTACAGAGAAGTTAAAAGACTCTAAGGCGTTGCCTTGACACATATAGCCAATCACGCAAAGTATTCAATACGCCATAAAGTCAGATTAATTGCCCCGGATGTCGGGCCATAACTCTCATACTTATCGGTGCCTCGTTGACTTAACCAACTTCCATAGTCGACCATTATATCAGCCAGTTGTTCCAATCACTAATTCCCTAACATACGAATGAACCTGATCATGACAAGTCACGAGCAGTTGTGGATCATCCAGGGGTCACCATTGGAAGTTGCTATTACTGCAAAAAACGGCCTCACCGAAATACATTAAATATAAATCATGACATAAAAATAAATCTCATTAAGCATGTCTTCATTGCATAGATAAACTTTCGGAAAGATTACACAGAAAGGAACTATGCATTTTAAGTCATTGTACGGACACGTGATAAATCTATCGAACATATATTCAAAAAAATTAAAAAAAAGACACGGGTGAGCCGTTTATGGTCTTTCATTCTGTTGCAAAACGGTGTTTCGGATTTATTATTAATGAACTATCGTATTAATAACTTGAAAGTAATACAATATGATGCATTCTGTGACGCACGACCGAATACGGATGTAATATAGAAGGACACAACATCCGGCAACGGCTCCAATCTTCAAAACAAACTTAGGGTAGGGTTTGTTTTTGTTTTATTCCTCGAGCAAATAAATTCATTCATATTGTCGCACTTTCCATCTGTATTGCTATATTTACATGTATACGATTAGTAATTTAGAATATTTTAATTGAAAATTCGTATTGAACGAATTCTTTACAGTCACCATCTTGACACAACCTAAAGAATTGTTATTTTATTCAGTTCGTATTCCCATTTGAGGGAATAATTTAACCAGAACACTTTAACATTATCATTACGTCATACCAGTCATATCTGTTAACTCGAGGCTACTTCCGGTCAGATTTATTACATATATCTCCCGTCACACGAAACCTCTACAACACGTCTTGTTTGTGAAGCATATAATCAAATGTACAAATTTAGTAATAAATTGTATGAATTGTAATAAATTGTACGAATTTTAATAAATTGTACGAATTCAATTGGGGATTTGTGCCAGCCCTGATCAAGTGTGTAGCCTCACGGAGTTTGTTGTCAATTCCAAATTCAGGCAACCCAGTCTATCAAGATAGTTCGGCTTATCACTATACTTTTTTGAACAATCGTGTCCTTAGTTTCATTAGTACGTCTTTTATGTCTGCGTTATAATTTTCCGATAGTTTCTACCGGACTCCCTGTTCTACCGGACTGCACTTCGCTATCCCGTCGCCGCCCCACTCATTCTGCCTAGGTTCTTCTCACTCAGTTGTTACAAGTGGACGAATGTCTCATTCTTCCCCTCCAATTCAGGCCTGGGAAGGCCAGCTTTGCTGTCTCCCTAACGTTTTCCACAGTTATTATGGATCGGGGCAGCTGCCTTTCCCTCACGTGACCTTTCGATATTTCCAGGATTCCTTTGCCCAGGGAGCGTACCATCAGTGCGACCAAGGGGAGCACCCCCACCACCACCCGCCACATAATTAAAATATTGTTATTGCTTCATTTTACTTCGTGTTACTTAGATTAGATTTCATGATAAAATAGGCAAATTTAATAATAAAATATAAAAATCAAATGCCAACATTAAATATTTTTTTGTTGGTATGGATTCGAACGCCTAACTCTGGATAGCTACCGTGCACTACCCGTGGTATAATACTACCCTGTTTTACACGGCAGCGGCACACTAACCGAAGCTGACGTAAAGAGAGGCATACGCATCAAAGGGCCTTTCTGTGTCCAAAACGACGCGGCACCACGTCAAAAATTAAGAACTGAACTGCACTATCAGACGGCATTCAAAAGACGTGTCGATGGATGTACACTAGATATACATGAATGCGTCGATGTATCAGTATAACCCACAATGCATTGCATCGTTGCGTCGGGTTGACCCACTATTCGATCCGTGACAAAAGGGGTAATTACTCCAACGTCTTCATCATTTAAACGTACAGCCCACATACGAATACGAGTATATAATAATAACAATAATGCTTCATATTATAATATGAACATGACAAAACAAGAGTATAAGAACGATATAAATATATAAACATAATTAAAATATAATAAATTTGACACTGATCTTACCCAATACCATTGTCCTATGATTGATCAAAATAAGGCCACATGGTATGACTGGATTGCTACACTGACATCCCGGGGCCTAGTTTGAGCATCAAATGAAACACTGCCAGGGAAAACTACGCCGGTATCAGTCGAGTCAACATTCCCTTGGATTGCAATGTATGGCGAGGTGGAATAGAAGTGCGTTGAGGCGATCCGTCTAAGCGTTATGCTGTCAATGTCTACCTACCCATCGTTTCTTAGCAACCGACAGTTACTCACGTCCGTGCGTTTTTGTATATGCATGATGGGTCGTTTGCAATTTTAATAACCGTATACAATTATTGCTAATAATGAAATTAAAAATATATAGTTAATTGAACGTGGAATTGTAAGTCGGTATTATCGCAAACCATAATATTTTTTCCTCTATTCTTTACATGAAATACATCGACATGAACCTGTATTTGGAAACTATGATTTGCATATTGTCAAGAAGATTTTTCATGAAGCAAATTGTCAATGTGTGCGTATTTAGGTAGGAGGAACCCGGATTGTCTGCTTCTCTCAGTAAATTGATGTGTTTTCTGCAGTAGAGAGAGGCACCCTGACTTTGTCTCAATTTGATTAAGACAATGTGGAAAACAGGTTTTAAGGGTGGTAATTGGAACGCATATTATTGGCCTATTTTTTTTAAATAAGTTTGCAGGTATATTTTAGGCCAAAATAACATCATTTGACCTTGGCAAGCGGGCTATTCAAACTTAGCCTTATTTGTGCTTTCCAGGGAGTGGGGAGCGCACGCGGCTCGAAGATTAAATGATATTTAAGTTATCGAAACATGATTTATGTGTTCATGAAAACCATATATAGGTGGCAGATATTAGTTCAATATTGAGATGGAATTGGAGCGTTTCCATATCGGCTAACGTGAAGGAAGAGGCATCTTTGCCCGTCGACAAGGGCGAAAAGGTTACGTATAAAGTGCGACTGGTGAGGTCTACGTAAGTTACGTCTCAAATCTATATGATAATCTATGTTGACTCTGGTGTAATAACGTCATAAGATAAGATTGACGTGGGACCCTTGAGTTGTTGGTAGATGCGCGAGGCGACGCACATAACGATGAAGGATATCTAATTTGCCGCTGTTGAATTTGTCCTTTAATAAGCACGTGACAATGATCACGACAGAGTATCAATTAGTTTAAACAAGAGAAACAAAATAAGGGAGGTTCTGGGAGAGTCATGCTGAAACAACCAAGTGCACAGTCTTCTGACAAAACTTGGCCAATATTAATGATGTATGACATTATTCTTGAGCAGGCACATAAATATTAAAGTGCGTCGCCATGCTAGGAGTCAGGACGTGCATGAAGATCACCTGTTACAGCATACTTACTATTCTGATTGTTTCGCAGGTGTTAATTCCAGGCAAACCCTAGACTGTTCCTCTCTTCGTGCAGTCGCGATATCATACCCTGAACCACTCAGGTTGATACATCTTCGCCAGCAAATGACCATTTATTCGGCCGAAGCCTCAACATTAACCCTTGGTAGATTTCACTACAATTTACTGTATGTTGCACGCCCTCAAGCGATTACAAGATTCACTCGGGGCTCATTTGCACTACACAATTAGAACTCACGATATAAACGGCACATACTTGGTAAATTTAAAATAGTGAAATATAGAAATCAACGAACTATGAACGAGCTTACTGACCATCAAAAGAAAGCACTTAGTGCTGTATCTGAGGGAAATGGTGTTTTTTTTTTCATGGTTACTAGAACTAGAACTAGTAACCGTGGTTTTTTGCAACGAAGACCGGATCGGGCAAGTCGATATGTTATCAGTTTCGACAGTTTAATAAAACACGATTTGTACAAATGTTTAGACATTCCATCGTCTTCATTCAATTGCCCACAAACAATTTTCAATGTTTTAATAAAACATTTTGGAAACGTGTCAACGAATATAGACCATTCTGTTCTTGACTCGCAGTGAATTAGCGCAAATCCTGCACGCCGCCATAGTTTTAATCTGTGATGACCCCAGACGCTCAAATTTATGATACAGCAACGCTGATTGGTAGCGCCATCTCCTTGGCGCGCCCAATCAAATGGCTCAATTTAACTGCTGTGAAATACAGCTTTTCCTACCACGATCATGTACTAGGGGTTCGTGGGCCGGTTATGAATGGCCGGCTTTAGCGAAACTGTGCGATTCGGACGATGCGGTTTATATGGTCATCACTATTTGTCAACTTCAGCTGTTCGTCGTCTTAAAACCGAGTGGGGGGGGGGGGGGTCACCTACACAAGCACAGAAATCGAGTCCTACGCGGTGATAATAACGTACGCTAAATAAGCTAAGGCTCATGGGTTTGTAAATAGTGACCCGCTATTTTCGTCTGCCGCATGAGCAGGTGACGAACTCCCTCGTTTTAAAGCAAAGAGTACTACTAAGAGTATTGCAATTCGATTCATTGGCATAACTATTTACACAGACTTTTTCGCGCAATCTTGTGCACCAAGTTCAGAAAGACGCATGCAAGATGGGTCCGTGTTATAACGTGTTACAGTGAGCATATGCCGTTATTCTCACCTTGACGAAAATCCGAAATGTTTGTTTTTTAAAAGTAGCCAACGCCTTTACGTATGTACGATAAAACACGTCTCAGATTCTTATATCAATATTCAGTCTGTTTGGATGTGTTATTATTCTAATCACGTTTAATGGAGAGAGGACTCTGATGCCACCGAAGCTTTCTGTAAACAACGCCACCAACGTCACAATATGCATACTTTTGTTTCCCAAGATCGAATGGCGTTGTCACACTTCTTTCCATGACACACGCGTACGCCAAGCCCGCATTGTGAAAAGTAAATTCAAAGTAAAAAAGTAATTTCCCATATAAAGGGAGAGGGAGTTCAATATAGCGACATCGCGTCGTTTTCCTTAATCGTAGCTATGGAAGTCCCAGTACATCGCAACCAAGGAGGGTTACGGCCATGTGTTTTGCCATATATTCACGTTTTTTGTTCGTAATACGCATTCATAATTATTTTTTTTCATTTGCGTTTCAAAATTGATTTGTCGGTTTCACAATTAAAATCAATATCAAATTTAAAAGAATAAATTAAATAGTAAAGGCAATGTATGCTTTTGTAATTTCACTTCAATTTCAAATAGATTTACATTTGCAATCTTAGTTTTACTTTTAAAAATAAATTTATATTTTAAAACTAGCTTTTATTGGTTAAATAGTTTTACAATTGTAATTTCGTTTTACTTTTAAAAATGAGTTTTTCGCCTTCTGCTCTTTGAACTTTTAAAACTTGACCTTAACTGCTTCACCAAGCTATGACAAGTTGTCGCATGTGTTGAAAGGGTTTTCCGAGATTTTATACGTTTTTCTCGAGTCAGAAAGTTGAATTTTCCACAGTGTCCGAATTGAGACGGTCACTTGCCGATTTGACACGTATTCTATAGGTTCGCGGCGAAGCAAGTTGATTTATGTTTACCTTTATGAACAATTCTTATAACTCAAATTTAATTTGTCTAACTATTTCCAAACATGGCCTATACTATACGACAGAAAATAGTCATCTTCGTTGACAATTATTATTTTTTTACTTTTTCTCACAATTGTCTGTATAGTGTAATATTGTGTTTATTAAAACCTTGAAATATAAAATACAATTTAAAAGATCTGACAAATATAATGATGTGGCATGGTGATGAAGAAAACAGTCTACTAAATAATCTGAATATTACCAGTGCTCTTTAAAAATAATAATAATAGCTCATCAGAGGTAACTTGAACTTAAAGATCCCTACATATATTGGGTTATTGCATTGTCAGTTTTTATTTGTTCTGCAAACGAGGATAACTGGATTAGGATGAGGAAAAAAAAATAAGCCGTCTGCACATTTCAGTATTCCCATTCACACCAGATTTTAAGTTTTATAAACTAGTGTATCACTACAGTGTCGCTAGATTGAGCAGCCTTTATGATCCAAATGGTCAGAAAATGGGTTTGCAGTTATTGGAGTGGGTCTGTTGCTGAAAAAAATTTGTAAAAGTTACAAACAAAATTCACAATTCACAAAAATTACAATTTCTCGGTGATATACCTTTCCCACAAAATTGTGCAAAAAAGAATTCCATCATTTTGGGTTTTTGATGTACTGGTCGCAGACACCTAGCGTGTGTTTCTAGAATACATGTAGTACTAATTAATGGGGGTCTGCGAGGTGAAATATTCAACGTCTGCTGTATAAAGTCGGAAAAGAGTATAATGCTGTTATTGTTAATGTTACGCTAGTCAGTGTTCAAATTATGAAACCAGTGATCGTTGTCACGGAGATAATGAATTGTGACGTCCAATGGATTATATGGCTTCTATTCGGGCGTTTCTGGTGTAACAGCTGCTTGGTTACCTATCTCAGTTTCCGACAATACTTTGCTGTATAACTTGACTTCGTCAAGTTTGCCAACAAAATGTCCGTTATATCGAGAATCTCCCGTGTCGCTAACGCCGATTACCACTGGGTCGCTTTTCATCGTGATCTTCTTGGTCGTGACCGTAGCCCCAGACACGCTGGCGCCATTCACGTATAGTGTAGACTGCCCATTGTCGCCATCATAAACCATGGCTATATGGTACCATTCGTAGTTGTTTATACTGGCACCAGTCAACTGCGTTGGGGGCTTTTGACTACCGCTCCATATCCATCCACCAACAAGCGAAGACGGGTACTGGCTATTGTCTACCGATATCTCCCACGTGTCGCCAGAATACTCGCCATTTCCGAACAAGCCCATTCTGTTATAGGGAAATTCCATGGTTTCATTGACGTCTAAGCAGCCCTCGCAATAAAGCCAGAATGAGACAGTCATGGCAGACCCCCATTCAAAATTGATGAATTCCTCAATGTTGACTTGGCCCTTTCCGGAAAAAATGGCTGCTCCGTCGGAAGTGAAAACTCCGTACGGGACTGCATCCCAACCGTTACAGGAGGCATCATCGAAACCATTATCGAAGTTGTAATGTACTAACAGATCATCGTCGTCACAGGTAGGTTTGTCACGTGTGTACATATCGTAGGCCTGGCTAGCAGTGAGAGCAATATCAAAGACATAAAGCTCATCAATGAGACCGTTAAAATATTGCTTATCAATCGGAATACCCGCCTGGCCAATTCGGAGTGGTAGAGGTCCCGGATAGAGCATTCCGGAACAGCACTGGACATCGCCATCTTGGAGGACTCCATCCACATACAGCTTAAACTGCGCGCCATCATAAGTAGCGATAATGTTATGCCATTTATCTGATTCGGCAAAGACGTTAACGTAGTCCCATTTGCGCTTCTTCGCTTTATTCGCTATCCCAGCTGCCAGTATCTGACCGTCGCTCAACGTAACCTCCAGTCCATCAATATCGCCGTACCCACCGTGAGACATGAGTCCTTGATCCATATCCCAGTTTCCCGTTCGCTTGAACCACGCACTTACAGAGAAGGTGTCGTATGCGTAGAGCCGGTCGCTGTAGACGTCAATTCTGTCAAAACCACTGAAAAACGCCGCCGTGCTGGACACGCCCCCATTCTCGCTAAATGTGACTTTTCCTATTTCGCTGACACGGGTATCCTCGTTCCCAGACATGTCCTCGAATGTGTTCTCGAAGGGCAGAAACACAAGGATGTTAGCTGACAGCGAATCTGTCGGTCGATATAAAAAAACAGAAATTAATTCGCACCACCAAGCAACACAACTCCAGGTGTATTACGCGAAATGATACATTAATTGATACGTTAATTACTGTAAATATAACATGGTGAAAATGCTTGTTGAATATAACTTTCATTTGTTAAATGGCGGTAGTCGTCGCGCCACGCATGCACGAATTATATGGGTCTCATATAAACAAAGATGGCGACTTTGACAGTACGATTGCGCAGATCAACGAGTGCAAACTGAGACGTTACCAAGCCTCAATTAGGTATTTTTTAGGTGATTGTAAGGTATCGAAGGAGTCCGAGTCGCCGGCGGTAATTAGTGCAAGTCACATCTACCCATAATGCATCATTGAATATAATTCCTTTAATATTTGTGACCATTTTGTCATCGTTATTCACAACACAACACTCTCGTATTTCATATACTCACCCTGGCAGACGGGCACGTCGGCACTCCAGGATGAAGTGCTACAGGTCACAGTAGAGGCCCCGATGAGGGTAAACCCAGATTTGCAGCTGAACGTGGCCACGGCACCATGGTAGTTGTCCCCCTGTACGTAACCGTTTAATGGAGCCGTGAGATCGTTGCAGTTCTCTACCGAGTAAATGAAAAAAAAATTATATAGTAATAGAAAGACTCTTTAATCTGGACGAAACGGGTACGGGGCATGCTTGATCTGTCGATGTATCTAAGCAGAGATACACATTGAAACACTGTTGTTCTTAAGACACGACAATATAATGTTGATATTGTCTGAGGTTTTTACAATTTATGTTCCACTGAAACACGTAATTATAAAACGATGACGTAAGTCGTAAGAGAATTCCGCGAGTGTTCACACGTACATTGGTTCAAATTGAACATCGAAGATTCCGACTGATACTAACTACGCCCTTGTCGATGAGCACAGTCGCTAATGTCACTATTAACTAGCTTATTTCTTTTCTGAAACGGAGTGAATGTATTTGTAGCGCTGAACAATAGAATTGTTCAACATTAATGATTAAACGTTAAATGAAAACACGGCCACATCGAACACGAAGTGGGACACGAGATCTTACCAATGCATGACACTTGTGGCGGTAGGTTGTTCCATTGACCGTCTTGACACGTCGCTTGTCTGGGTCCACTCACGCCATAACCTTCTATGCATGCAAAATTGGCCACCGTACCGGGATTCAGATAGCCATTCGTAGGCGTATCACCATCGTAGGTAGTTTCAGCGAAGAGTGAACTCAGACTGGGAAGAGTACACTTTTCTGTGAATAAGAAAAGAAAAATAATTTAGTCCGCAGTCATGCTTTTATAGTATATTTTGCATAGGTCATGAACGCGGCAAACTACTCCTAAGAACTTGAAGAGAATCAGTATTCGGCTAATGGTAGAACTGAAAACACCTCGTCTCGGTCTTATTGTATCCCCAAGTTCTCGCTCATTATGTAGTCCCATCTTTATGCTATGCAGTCCCGTATTTATGTTATGAAGTCCCATCGTTATGATGTGCAGTTTTTTTTTTTTCTGTATTTTATAGAGTCACATCTGTATGCTATGCGAAGTACTCTAGACCGGGTGTGTTATAACGCGTGTGTCTTACTGGCCCGTTGTTAACCACTGCCGTTTTGGGCATTCATTTTGATGTGTGATTATTCGTCATATGGTAGTGCCAGTCGTAAATTACTGCCGCAAAGTAAACGAGAAGACTTGCGCATTGGATAGTTTTGTTTTCATTTCGCTGGCCCGAATGGTTTAAATTATAACGTGTTTTAAATGTTTTAAACCTGAGTTAGTAATGATTAATGATTCCAGGGTGAAAGAGTCAAGCCGGAAATCGTAAGTATGCGTGTGGCAGAACTAATCCGTTTAGAGATTAACACTGCTGGCGATCGCGATCGTTGCAGCAGACCGACCAAATTACAAAACAAAGCGCGGCTGATATGAACTGTGCGAGTACGACTTCAGAAAATGTTTTGTCGATCTGCATAACTGGTCGCCGATTATGAACACCAATTATCATTTTGTTTATTGTATTCATATTACGATTTCTAGATCCATTGTTATATTTGCAGTTTCAGAGATGCATTGGTAACACATAACTTTGAGTCAATTCAAATAATGACCGGTTCACAATCCGTTAAAATTATCTTATTTGAAATGAGGTCGCAAACATAGCAGGAGCAGTCAATGAAAATGTTTATGGCCGGGGCAGAGAAAAAAGTCGAGGGCAGATCACAGTCACTCTACTACTACTAGTAGAGTGACTGTGGGCAGTTAGAAATTTTGCAATACATGGCTATTGTGCAATGTCTTGAGTGTAGGAACAATTAAACAAATCCGGAGGGGAGTTAAGAAATAATGATTCGGAAAATATTGTGTAAGACGATCAATATTTTGACATATAGACGTATATAATGATACTCAGCCATAATATAAAAAGTTCACTTTGCTTGCATTGATCATTCAGATTTGTATTACATAGTTTGGGAATATAGAAAATTAGTACACAGCTTAATTAAACTGAACTTCCATGGTAATACGTCTTTTACTGTATTGACCTATAGAAAGAGCCCGGGTCAAAAATTAACATCGGGGTCAACAAAAAACACGGATCAAAATAAAAATTTGGCGTGGATCATACATCGAAAAATATTATCGCAGCTAGAGCAATAAGAAATTATGAATATCACAGTTGCTCATGTGATAATGCGCATATTACTTTACCCGTGTTGCACATGATGAGCACTACAGAAACGACGTCGGTCAGACCGGAAGCGAGGGTATTGTAAAATGTATAAATTTGAGACTGTCCAGCACTATAATACCATGAATGAACAAACAGGTCATTCACTACTGAACCTTGAATCACTGAACAGCTCTCCAATTTGTTTATCAACTGACTTTTTTTGCCTCTCTGTCATGGCGTTAAGCTCAACCATAAACACAATTCCCATCTTAAAAGTGACAGAAAACTTAAATTCAGTCTTCAAATAATAACACTTTGCATTGAAATACTTAATCAGAATTGTCAATGACGGAATATATTTCTCATTACATGTGTTGAATGGTCTATATGAAAATTCCTGCTAATAACTCCTCCAATGGAGATTTTGATTATAAGACGGTATAAATCCTACTTTTTAAGCCAATAAATTTTCCTCTGTGTTTAGTTCATTTGTTAAGTATAACAACTAGTATTACTGCTGTTGCACAGAAAGAGAACAGCCACCAAACCTTCACGTAAAAAACGTGAAAACTCCATGGATTGTTTACGTTATGACATTAGTATTAGCTGCCGAATCCAAAAAAGATACATTGAATGAAACAAAAAGTATGCGTTAGAAGCATACATAGTATCATGCCAGTACTTAAACCATTTTAAAAACCTTGGTTACTCTACTAACATTGGCTTTTGTATTCTATTGATTCGGCTCTCGGGGTGATAAAACGTACACAGAATGGCCAACTTGAATACGGATCGGTTTCATACATATTAAAAGAAAGTTGTAAGCAGAAATTTGCATATGTCGATTTGGAGTTTGTGTTGAAATGATAAGCTGTGTACCAACTCAACAGCTGGATTGACCATGCAAATTACATTTCCCATGACGCATTGGTGCATTCCCTGGGATTGCGGAGCCGCGCTTTATTTTATTTTTTATTTTTTTTATTAGACGCATAAAATCCTTAGGAAAGGATAAAAAGGGTCTTACAGAAAGAAATTAAAACAAACTACAATCTAAAAAAGAAAACAAAAAGAAAACTTTTCTAAAAAAATTAAAAAAATCAAAAAC